TCATAAAGTTTAAAGGTGGTCAGACTAAATTGCAATACTAGCACATGAAGTCTATCTATGTCTCTGTCTATTCACGAATTCCTCTTTATGAATTTGAAAAGAGCTAGGGCGAAGGTAATAATTGGAGCAGAATAAAACAGACTCATCATGTTTCGGTGATATATTTTCAACTGCTTACAACCTTGAATATTCCAAAAACATGTGGTTTTATTGAGAGCTTAACATCTTTCAATTCACTGGAATAAAACAGAATATCATCGGTTAGTAGTTAGAACGAACATAAATAGGCAAAGCGTAGTGTTAAATGGTAACAGGAAGTATTTCGAAGGCCTTTTCCAGAAACTTCAATTGCACTAGGTACATAGTGGTAACAGTTTGATATTATTTTTCGTCACGAATCACCACTAAAATTCACTATTTCTGTCCGTCTAAATACCGACCGATTTTCTGTTTTCTTCTGATGAGTTGAAGTATGTTAGATTCTCAACAACACAACACATGCTGATAGATTCTGGGTTGACAGGATATCACCGAAATAAAGTGGATCCATTTCATCCAGCTCGCATCACCGCCTCTGCTCTTTTCAAATCCATAAAACGGAATTCATGCATGAAGCTGCATCCTAGTCTTTACATAACGTTTTGTTATTTACCTTAATTTCGTCTCTTATTTTCTTAGGGCTTTTACTACTGTGTGATTACTGTTTTCGATATCTCTGTCCTCCACTTGTTTGCAGAGTGTTTTGATATGCTGCGATATGTGGTAACTTTGACTATTCCACAGTGATACCAGGGGCTTTGTTGATGCTGACTGATATTCATTTATATTCCCTGACGGAAATACCACACTTACTTTTGGGTAAAAGAGGTAATTCGGTTGTCAATCATCACAGATGGAAATCACTGCAACATGTCTTACGCATACCATTTTAGTCTGTTTATTAGATGTGTCACATAGTAAAATAGTATTATTTACTGGATGCTTCGTAAAAAATTGTCGAAATTTATATCAGATGATATGAATATGGACAACATATTATGTCCGAAATAATACCCAGTAAATGATATTGTTCCACTGTGTGACACATCGAATGGACAAACTAAGATGGAATTACAATCTACTACAATAACCAAGTCTCACTCCCATATTAATGTGTCACGTAAGCCAACCAACTATCTGCTCCAGTGATCTATCATTTGGAGTACGACAAGGTTGTCGAAACCCCAAGAATCGTCACCTTAAGGCATTGCAAAGACTTACGAATTCTCCAACTGTTCATTTCACCTATGTATGGAATTCGAGGTTCCACTAATTGGGGTCCATGACATAATCGGAATCGATGGCTCAGAGTCGATAGAAGTGGTGTCGACTCTCTCACACCTTATCTTCATTCTAACCATAATACTGCATTCCATCATCTCAGTCAACCCCACCCCCTGCCTCTTTTTTCTTATTGTGACTTGCCACACTTTGGATGATATAGTTTTTAACACATTTGTCTTTTGTTTTGTAGCCATGTACCTCGATAAAAGATGTAACAACTTGGACCATTATGCAGTAATACAACGTTGCATGTCGACATTAACTGACTAATATTTGCTCTGAATTAGGCGTATATATATATATATATATATATATATATATATATATATATATATATATATATATATATATATATATATATATATATATGGTAAGGTGTTGATGAAAGTTTTGTGAACGAAATGTTGAAATTAGGATGATATATTGAACATAAATAAATGAGAAAATGTGTGCTGACTGAACCTGAGTGCACGGTGATATTTTACGTCTATAATATACTTCTTACCTTTATTTGGAACCTGAAAAGATTTTGTTGCACATTTTCCTTGTTGGAAGAGATAATATTTATAGGGTTACTGAACATAACTGTTTGATAGAATTATATTACATCTGTTTAAGTTGAATACTATCACCACCCCTACCACTAAAATTATTACTACTACCATGATAAAGTGGCCAACTAGGTTTTATTTTACTGAAGAAATAGCATACGGCAAATAACGCAAATATGTTTTGTTGGCACAACATGTGATTCTTCCTATATGTCATTTAGTAACTGTAGTCATGGATGCTCATGTACGCGATAGACAAACTAATTCTTGAACGAGATAGCAAAAGTGAAATGCTGAGATTTTCTGTTTTCGTAAAAGAAATAAGAGGTTAACAGCAGTTTCACAAGCAAGTAGGAACAACTATTGTCAGCAAAATCTAGTGTACAAAAATCATTTTGAAGTAATTTTTATCTTATGCCAGCCTGGATTAAGGCTATCCGTAGGAAACCAAGAATGACACTGTGGAGATGGTTGTATACAATGTCTTGAGCACTAACGAAAATGCCTAAGAGAGACAATAATATCACACCAGAACTTCTTTCAGATCGCAAACGCATAACAATTTCATCACAAATTTTGAATTGTCCTCATCCGCACAATCGCTACAAGCAAATGAATAATTTTGACTGATTCTCTACCTCAAATTGATATCTGTTTTACTGGTCGGTACTTTGTTCATAGAAAGAACGAGAAATAATAAGCAACAGCACTAGGGACTGTAATACTTTGAGCCTAACAAACAATCCACTTTGATTTAGATGCACCAAGAGTAGTTTGACTATTGATTCACGAATAAATCTTGTAAGTAAACGCACTTCCCATACTTTCTGGTGTTTGTTTCACATGTGGACAAATATGATAGATTATACTAACAAGTATGCTTTTCAAGATGTTGGTGGTTTTTTGAAATGATTGTATGTACAGGGTGCTCTTAACTAACTTCAACAACTTTACACCTTAAAATAACCGGTTGATGCGACTATCAGAGATCAACAGGAGTTTTTATTCCCGAATTCTTAATTCAAAGGTCATCAAAACACCCAAAAACATTCCATTGATTTGTGACTCATCCATTCTTAATACTGCATTATGAGAAAAAATATTGCTATGGTATGAATTAAATAGATATACGTCCCTTAATATCAGGAAAATTAAATAAGTGGGATCGAGTGGAACAGAGAAGCAATAAATAATTGTAACATACTCAGCAAATCAATGCTCATGCTTTACAACCTGGATAGTAAGTTAAATGTCTGCTTTCGTCGGCTTAGATCATTTCAACAAAAATTAGTTATCAACAAGTCATCTTCTTCTGGGATTTTTACAGGTATTAAAAAGACCCATTTGGTTAAGTTTTAAGAAATACATATTTGTTTACTACTTAAGTTAACGGTAATATTTAAAGAACTTGACTTACTCATATACCTGAGAAAAGGACAAAAACTGATTTGACTTACACGCATTCCCCTCTCTTGGAAAGCAAGAAATCAAAGATAATAAAGTGAGAACTTACATGAGACATCTAAGGTGCCCAAAACAACTGAAACATGATAGTTGCATATAACTCTCTAAAACCCCGTTTTTTAGTATTTTGAAATGTAAAGGGTGGTAGGACATTGCCTCTTTTAGATTTACTGCTCTCCATTACTTCGGTATACGATAACGAAACCATTCGGAAAGGTTTTTTATAATTCAACTCGCGAGACTATAGCCTTACCATTGGAGACGATGAGGTATTACTCAGAGTTGATCATGCAAAAACAAAGTGACAATTTATCTGATTAATTTGGTCTTTAACCGTTATTTCTTTTCATATTTTAATATCACTTTTACCTGTTATTTTTCTTTGTTGCTTTGAAGTGCGTCACCTTGAAATGAAGCTACTTTGGAAGAGATTTCACCTCGTTGTGTCTGTTTGCGAGTACAGAGTTCGACGATTTTAACGGATGCTAAAATTTTACTAATTTTCCATAGTATACACAACTGTTGTGTGAAGGCTTATAATATGGTCTAGGTGACAAAAGAACGTCAGCAGGTGGAGCTCAGTTTGAATCTATAATCCGGTGGTTAAAAGTTGGTCAATGAGATGTAGCTCCAATTGTATACACACAGCTCCATTCTATCTATGTTAACTACACTCGCATATTACATTAGTTTTACCTATCCAGTAAATAACATCAACATTTTATATATCTTTAAACCAGGTTCAGATTTGATGGTGTGAGAGAACTTGGGCATTGGACAAATGATATTCATTAGGAAATACAAATACTAAGATAACGAATGCTGTATCATTATGTGCTATACCAAATGAACTTGACTAATATGCAATATACTCTACTAGGTTAACAAATTCCTACTACTGAAACAAGATATACTGATATTATGGACCATGAATATTTTCGTAACGTCAAATTATGATAGTATTCCATTCAATACCCCATATTCTTTGACTGTTCCCCCTCTCAAAAGTCACCAAAAATTATCCAAACCATATTTGATTGCAGTTTAGAAATCCGTGGTTTCAATTCGTGTTCAGTAAATAACCAATACATCACTTTAAAGTACACCAAGTGAAGTTAAACCATCTCAGCAACCACATATATCTTTATGCACTAAACAATGAACCATATCTATTGTGTATGAAGGTTAGTGAAGCCATTTAGCCGCCTAAATATCGACTCAGGGGTTGAAAGTGAACTATCTGCAATAATAAGCAACAGATCTACCTCTTAAGTACAAATATGTACATTTTAGCCATCCGCACTTTTATATTCCATATCTGTTTAAAAGGTTTTTGAATTGTAGGATTTCCGCTCTCCGCTTGCAACTTCGGTATATTTATCAGCTCAGTTGTTAGTTTACTAGGTAGTGAACTGATAGACTGAATCAGACTTCTATTAGAAAAGTGATCCGCTAAATGAACATATCTTCAGCTTAGGTAGACATAAAAACCCACTGATTGATATTCTTAAGCAAATCATCTGCACATTTATACTTGGTTTTTTTAAATTGTTATGGCTTGTTGATATCCGACTGATAAACATGACCACTGATAAAACAAAGAAATAATATTAACACATATAAACAGTAGTTTCGTGATAACTGATTAAGATGATTACTTACTGAGGCGGCATATTTTCTATCAGAAGGTTCCGCTACTGTAATCCAATTTCCCTCTTTATAAGATGCCATATTACCAGCGGAATTCAAGTTTTCTTTATCCAATTCTACTGAACCTGCTCTGTTTAACGGATCTAATTCTTTATACAATACATGAGAGGCATCACTATGCGCACCATCACTGATCCAGCTAGAAGAAATGGGGGCATTCGCTTCATCAAAGTGAGAAGACATCGATGAGTGAGACACAGTATCGTCGAAGACAAGAGGTGAATGACTATGAATTAGGGCCTAGAGCCAAAAGAGTAAGAAAATATGCACAATGATATTGATTTTTGGTTTCAAAAACACACGTCAAAATGAAATGAGAACATACCCAGGACATGTACTCATTTATCATGTTTCGCGATCCCTTAGATCTAAAACATAAAATTTTAGGAAAATTCAAACGTACGGCTTTGTCCTCCTGAAGTTCTCCTTAAAATAAGAAATATGTTGATTTAATCACAGACGGTAAATATTACTCACTTTTCCAATCAAGCTGTCGAACTACAAAAAAGTGTTGAACTGTTTTAAAAAAAAGGTCGAATATCTACCTCTGGTGAGGGTTTCCCGTTTTGTCCAAGATGGTTGTAGCACCTAAACGTCCCAATATTTTGAGGACTGGATATGAAACCTACTGACTGAAGAGCTTTTTCCCAGCAAATATACAATTTCCCATTGGTATTTATAATAGTTTGCTTTTATAGGAAATCGGTAGTAAACAGGCTGCGGTAATACAATTGAAGTGTAGTAGGCAATGGTGTGAAATATCCTAGAAGACAAAACATAAAAATCAACCATTATACGTTTGCTGTTGGTTGCAAAACATCATTTATATACATCGGCAATACTCACTACACATAAACTGGGATTGCGTACATCTTTAAAAAGAGAATCTTGGTCACAAGATTTATTGATGCTATCAGGAATTTCTTAAATGGGGTAGTGGAAAGGCGATAACCACTAATTAATGATGCAGATAAAAACTCAGGCACAGAAAAGATAAAAGGTTTTTTGACCGACAGTTCAAATATATCGAATAATATTTTGTTCCGTTGCTTAGAAAGGTCGTAAGAAACACGTTGATACTTAAGCATTTGAAATCCAATTGCATTAACTGCTGCAGAAGCGATGGAAGACTAGATTTACCACTAAAATCTCAAAGGAGACTTCATGCGTGACAGAAACAGCCTGGTTAAAAGTGCCGAGTTCGAATACACATGGTGTTACAGAATATGATGACGTATTAGATGACTTGTTTACGTCGAGGTGTCCATCAAGGATGTCCACTCTCTATTCTTCCTTAATTTTGCTATCCACGTGTTTACAAAGGCCTCTCTGCCCTTTTGTCTAAATTTACAGACTGAGTTTGACGCAAGAGACTCCTAAGTAGGCCTACATTATGTAGGTGACATATTGCAATTAGGCGAAGACAATGGTAAGTTTCAAAGTCATCTGGACACACTGAGGGGCAATTTGAGTATTTCGAGCCAAGTTTCTCGACACAAATGCAAATTGTTGCTCCAAGGATGGTCTTCAGTGGCGCTCTGTATAACAATAGGGAGTGATATGGCTGAACGCATTGACCACTTCACTTACCTGGGAAGTCTAGTCAGCCTTGGTGGATCAGTGACCGACAAAATTACGCGCACACATACGAAACGATTGATTGGTTTTCATCAAATTACAAAACTTATCGTGATCCCACGATATCTAATTACCTAATAAGGGCCGAGTGCATTTCGCTACAGTCCGTTCTGTCCTGCTACATAGTTGTGAAACATAGCCATTAAAAGTAGAGGATAGGAAGAGGCTTGAAGTGTTTGACCACTGTTGCTTTCATGTTACAGGTAGTGTCATGGTGTCACCATTTGAGTAACGTAAAAGTTAGGCCTAGTTTTAGGGATAAGATAGAAAAGTCGATGAGGTAGTGAACCATCACTGACTCAGATGGCTAGGCCATGTCCTCAGCATGCCTAGTCACCATCTGTTTCGCTGCACAACGCTGGCTAAAGAGAACTTAGAGATGGCCGGACTAAAACATGCCTCGCATTAGAGCATGAAGTCTTTGACTGCTGGTATGAGCCGTGCAGGTAAGTGTAGACTTTTAGGTTGTTTTCCATGTGACAACAGAAATCAGTGTTTGGAGATTGGGTGATATGATTCAAAATAAATCCCAGTGGTGCAGATGTATACACGTTATCCCCATTCTAACCATCATCCTGAATTCAGTATTTTCTCATTTCTCCTCCACCTCTTTTTACTACTTTCTACCACTCTCAGTTGCTTTGTTTTTTCATCTCTTTATTTTTCATCTTAGAGCATTCTCGGTTGTGGTGATATGAGGTTTGGCAAGTTAGACCGAGACGCTGTAATGTCAAGTCCCATGTTGCCGCCCACAGACTAACTTGAAAAAGTTGGGATCGCGAATCGGCAGTTGTAGTTCTTTACAGAATAGATGTGACAAGTAACCTGTTTGGAAAGGATCTGAGCAAAACACTGACACAAAATGGCAGGTGAAAGTATCCACAAATTGTAAACAACCGTCAGTGAGGGTAATGACTAACCTTAACTACTGTCAAGATGTCTGCATAGACGTGTTGTTCATCTACTGCTTTTTATGCTTTGTCAAGTTCGTGCAAAAGTAACTCCATTTCTAATAAATCCAAAGTTTCATCTTCTTAAATATCATACAAAAATACCCCTAATAGAAGTTTGTCGGAAAATGTTTTTACAAATCCCTTAAGTTGATATTAAGAGACTCTCAAACTATCATAGCCAGATTCTTGACACAAATTGACTACTTCTTACATCTTAGCAAATACGTGATGATAGCTTGAGCAGATAATACATAGATTTGTCACTGGCTCAAATACGTATGCAGTTTCAATTTAAAACAATATTGATAAAAGTTAATTTTATTTCAGTAGGTAGTACTCGTTAGTTCTTTAAAAGAATCCTGAATCTACAAAGATGAAAAGCTTCTTAATTTTTTGCAGTAGTTTTCTAAATTGGATCTCAGCTCATGGTTATAGTTACTTTTAAAATCTTTAATGTGAATAGAGTGAATTATTGTAAAATCCTATTCCAGACTTGAAACCGCGTCTACTGAAACCGATACCAAACTGAGTACTGCAGCTTTACGTGACTACATCCTGTTTAACGTGACAAAGCGCCTTACGAATTGAAACCCTATGCCATAGATTTTTACTGTATTTTTGGAACAAATAAAATGCATCCGTGCCTGTTTACATGAACTCAACCAACCAGTGTAACCTTTGAGGTTTGTGAACTATCAAATTTTGCGCAATTCTAGCACCAATCTTCTTCAACTATAACCCCTTCTATTGTTTTAATTGCTTGTTATCATCAACGATCATTTACGATTCCCCCAACTTCTAACCCAGTGACCACTGGTGATGATTCTGGTCAGTGAAACGTTGTTTGAAGTCTTTAAAAACACTGTGAACATCTTGATGCTACCAAACTTCGAGATTTATATCAGATTGGAAGCCCAAACTTTATCGTATCAAGCTACAGATGAGTGTTTAGCTTTTGAGATATGCATACCAAGTTCAAGTACGGCTATCCACTTGATCTTGGTTATCTCCCAAGGACTTGCTGGAGGAGAGACAGAATTCGGTCCTACACCGAAACACGAATCGCTTGACTGGATCCCACTTGACACTTGTCTGTATGCTGTCCAGTTGAAAAGAAAGGTAAGAACCCAGAATGACCATAACAATCACCGATGTGTGTATGTGGTATCCACCCAAATATCTACTTACTAAAGCTCAAAATAAGCAGAGCGAGAGATATTAGGGTAGAACCTGGAACGAAAGTGCACCAGTTCAAGTTACCACACAAAGAAAAGGTATGACATATTATTTTTGATAAAATCATATGAAACTATGGAAGAAATAGGGGGATGTTGATGAAAATATGCATAATTCCAAGGATGACGGTGTACATAGCAACACCAATGATCGATTTTGAGCCATATCAATCATTGATTCCTGTCGTCCAGTAGACTGCAGGATGCATGTTTACATTTTCCTATACAGCTTCGACCAACAGTTAGAGACTTCATGAAATACCGCGCACCTATAGCTTCGTTTTAATCTAATCTTACCTCGGCTAATATCGCAAACCAAGACGAAGATTTACACCTTCACTAACTAACTTATGTTCCTTGCTTAGCAGTTCACACCTAAACTCGGTAATACTTGTATGCTGATCCCACTGCATGCGAATAATACCACGAAGACAATCTTAGTCACGAATCTGTAACAGCCTTGTCTCAGCCGTATTACGATTGGACAAAGTGAACTGCCGAGAAGTATACTTGTCTTTTGACAAGTAGCTGGATATTCCCTTGATAAGTTGGTATTAGTTCGAAATGACGAACGTGCCTCCAATATCCAAACTGCAGTTCTGTCAGTAATTTCAATGAAGTGGTCGGTACATTTGACCATTTCACTGGCTACTCTGAAATCAGGATCCAGTGTGGACCAGTTCTCACATATTCATCATCTTGAATTGACAGATACATACATAGTCGATATGCTTAGATTCCAGCCAAAAGCGTTCAGAAGACTGCATCTTGTTGGCGTCTAAGCCCAACAAGACTGTGCCGTTTGAATATTCTAAGTCAACAAGACACTCGACAGGGACTAAGTCCATTCTTATGAAGTTGGAGATACCTAGGGGTTATAACTATCAGCAAAACGAGCGTTGACAAATGGCTATAGCAGACAGGATTGAAAAACCACTCACTGTTGTTACTTCAGATGACAACTTTCCATGAGTCCTTGCACAGCTGCATGAACTCAAGTAGGGGACCTCGATCAGCATAACTCACTTATTCAGTTACCCCTTCAAACTGACACCGCCACACTTTCAGAGTGACGGAGTCATTCACTGCCTTTTGGTCAAGAAATATCTATATATGTCTGTCATTGAAAATCCGCCAAACGGGTAGAGATCTGTAAGTGTAAAACTTGGGCACTGTGGTCGAGTGTAATTCCATTTTGGTCTGTTTATTAGAAATATCACACAGTTTATTGTCCCTATTCACATCACCTGATATGAATATGGACAATAAATTGTGTCCGAAACGTTATTCAGTAAATGCTACTGTTTCACTGTATGATATTTCTAATAAACAGATTAAAATGGGTAGAGATCTCATCGATGAATCGTCATCCAGGCTTAAAATAACCTTAGTTTTCTCAAGTTTATTGTCCTCCGGCTGTACCTGGGCGTCGACTAACTGTGGAACGTGGGATATTAGGTGTCATGTCAGTCAAACTGACCCCTGTTTGGTTGTCAGAGGGACAATCTTTTGGCATATAAAATGGAATGATCGAAGATATGGATAAATCTGATAGAAATACCTTTTCTTCATGCACTAGTAAGTGCTTCAGTTACTGAAATCCACAATCTTTTATCTTCATCCTTGAAAACATGGTGGCAAATTGTAAGATTCTGCTGCTTTGCATTATTTCGCATTTGAAACATTTTTGACTTCCATGAACTTTGCAGGATTTACATTTAAATCCTATTTATGTTAAGGTTTCACGATGGTTATTAGACCAGTTCAGTCGTTCCCTAGTGTCCCACCTAACATCCCAACCGAAAAGTGCAAAGGAGTCACGTAACAGGACGCCTTTCACTTTTTAGCACATGTTTTTTTGTAATGTCCGAGATAAAATAGTTTGTACCAGTAAGCTTCGGTCGAGCTTACTGAAGAACTCAGAAATGAAAAATGACGTTGAAGATTTGGAAGACTTTAATGGGAAAAGTCTGTCGTATGAGCACACTCTAGATTAATTATCTCAAGTAACCCTGGCAGTGTACGTGAAAAAGTTTAGTTTAACTACCAACTGACAGCGCTTGCCTAAAAGGTATAACACATTTTTAGACGCACTGGGCCAGTGATATTAGATTAGTGCAGTGAAATCCCACGTATCTCTGGAGGGTTGCATGAAACTAACACCTAATAACAATTGCTTTGTGGATTAAGAACTTATGCATACCCTATTAGTTAAAGCTGTTTGCCATGCTGGTTAGTACTCCAATATCTAATAAATTCAAATGTCCCTGATGTTTTTTGGGTAGTCACACTAAGATGTTTGCTGCTCATGTGACATCAAGGCCGAGCAACTGCACACTCTAAAACAGAAATACCCATCAGTAAGTCGTACGCAACTAGAAACCATGATACACAAACATTTAGTCCATTCTGTAAGCTGTTGATTTAGGCGGAAACCTTGTCCTTTTTAAATCTCTGGAGATAATTTTCAGAAAACTGCCGAACAATAAAAATGTAAGATGCACAGAAATGTTTTGAGTGCCAGTTTGAGAGACAAAACCCAACTAACATTTACTCTGAGAGCACTTCAAAATTTCCTGTCAGAAGATATGTACTTATGGACTACAAGACATATGTTCTACCCAAAACTTCAATAAGCCCTAAAGCTCACAACAAGCTGATGGGGTAAAACTTTGTTGCCGTGACCATTCTCGTCATTTGACACCTCTTTAAAACATCTCGTATTCAGAATCATCCGCATATGGAAATAAACAAAACTGAAGACGTAAAGTGGAAAATAACTAACATATTCCCTAACTGCATATGAATTCATAAGTGAAAACGTTTCTTCAAATAGTGTCCAGTCCCCGGGGTAGGACGGAGCAAAAAGCCAGCAGGTGAGACCAAAATGGGGAAACATAAACCACCTATTAATGATACTTGCTACCTATTTTATGCACTTCTCCCAAACTGTTCGGTCGTGCAACTTGATCCTGAATAATCAGTTTTGGTATTGCTCTTCGTATTTCTGTTTCATTAGATGCAATTAATTGGCTGATCTTTATGTAAGGTGAGAAAAATCGAACATCGTCTTTTTACATATCGTCCCAAACCGAGAAAGCAAATTTAAAACACCTGCTTACCTAGAAGAGACACATAAACTCGGAAAGCAAAACTAAATAAAAAGTGAATTGCAAAGTAACCGCATCCCGATGATCGTCCTTGAAGTAAAGGACTACTACTTGGAGCATTAACATCCAATATCCAATATCTTTTAACGAGCTAGTGTAGACCAATTGATTTCTTTGCGCTCGCTTCTAGGTCTTGCGGAATGGTTCCAGGTCTTTGGTGGATTCCAATGCAGTAGGTCTACCCACTCAACTGTTGTAGCCCTGGTTAGCCCAACGGGTGGTTGGGTAATGTTTAGATTTGTAGGGAGTGTTGTTTGTTTGTTTGCTTTTTCTTCTGAGTACTGTGGTGCAGATGGGTTCCTCAAATGTCGTGCCAGCAGACAATTGGTCTGACCGGTTGTAAAAAGGAGATGAAAAATATGTGCAGAGAAATCAAGGGAGAGAAAGTGCAGAGAGAGACAAAATAGAAAAAGAAAAGGAAAAAGGGAAGAAGAATATATATACATATGTATAAAGATTAGGAAAAAGGAAACGGCACGGAAGCATAAAACATTGGTAGGTCTATGGGGAATAGGTGATAGGGAGAGCTTTTGTTAAAAATTGAGAGCGTAAAGTCAGAAGGAAGAATAATAACATGATGGGATGAATGTGAATATAGTAATACTTTTAGTAGGAGACAGTAACTGGAGGGGACGTCTACAAGAAGGTATGAGGTTGAGCCAAGCTGTCAGTGATAGTGGTTTTACAAAGTGTTCAGTAACGGTTGGTCGTACCGAGTTAGTAAGTCGTGCCAGCCTAGTCCATATCCCAGTTGGATGAGCGCAAACCGTGCGTCGCTGAGTAACTGTCTAACCTCTTCCTGAAGCTGCCGACAGACGGAGCAGTAGCAATCTCGGCAGGCAATGCGTTCCAGTGGCCACAAACTCACAGAGAGAAGTGTGGTAGCACACGGGTTTTCGCTGTTTGGTGAACGATCCTCCTTGGGTTACCACGAGGATCGCCATAGTGGCCGTTAAGTAGGATTCCACTGTTCGGATGACTTGGGTTACTGAGCATTTTGTAAGCCGTTATCAAGTCACCACGTAATCTGCGGTAGCTTAGGGAGTAGAGCACTAGATCTTTCAGCCTGTCCTGATATGGTTTTTGTCTCATTCCCAGGAAACCCTTTGTAGCTAGCCTTTGGACTTTCTCTAGGAGGCTCACGTCTCTTTTCGGATATGGTGGTGCAATGACGTTGTGTACCTCTAGGTGGGGTCGTATATAGGTCTTATACAGCTTCAAAAAGGGTTCCGGGGTCAGGGCACCGAGTTGTCTGTCCATGAAGTGCACTACTGCGCAGGCTCTGAAGACATCTCCTGGATAATGGGGGCTAATGTCCAGTTTGTCAGTTAGTATTGGTCCTAGGTCTTTCCCTGTGGTGGTGTGGGAGAGTTGTGTTCCACAGAGAGAATAGGGCACCTTCTGAGAGTCTGGGGTGCCGAGAAACATGGCTCGGGACTTATCTAGGTTAAATGCAAGTCCATTACTACCCACCCACTCTGCAAGTAATCTGAGGTCACTTTGCGGTGCACTTGACTCTGTTTCTGACGTCGCAGCTCTCCATAACTTAACACCGTCTGCGTCAAGTAGGATTAGGGAGTTGAGATTTAGTGGGAGGTCGTTCACGAAAAGAAGTAATAGCGGTGGACCCAGAATCGCTCCTTGTGACACACCAGATGATGACGTCCTCCAAGCCGAGCAAACTCCGTTGGCTTTTGTGCAGAATTGTCTGCCGCCTAGACAGTCCTGTGACCATGAAAGCACTTGTCCCTCGATGCCCACCCTTTCTATTTTGTGAATAAGAACGGTGTGTGGAAGGCCTTAGTAAAATCCAGGGAGATAACATGGACAGGAATTTGGAGGTCCTAGCATGCCATCCACTTATCACCTGCAGCCAGAATGTTTGTGGCACAGGACCTACCCTTTCTGAAACCACGTTGTGCATCACTAAGTGCTCCCCTCTTTTCTAGGTACTCCCTGACATGGTCGTCTACCAGGCTCTCCATTACTTTTGACACCACTGGTAGGAGGGCTATGGGTCGGTAGCATTTTGGGTTCTACCAGTCTCCACCTCTGAAGACTTGGGACAGAATAGCACTTCTCCACTCTTGTGGAAGCATGTGATTGTCTAAGGAGTGTTGAAACAAGTTACACAGCGGACCGCACAAGGCACTCGCGCACTGCTTCAGCACAGCCCGTCGGATGTTATCACAACTCGGAGATTTCCCCACGCGGAGCTTTGACAGTTTTTCGAGGACCATAGTAGGAGTTACCTTTACTCCAGGCAACTCTACTGCGTTTGGTGGTGCTGAATGCTGGTAGGATAGCTGGTAATTTTGGTTCGACAGGACGTACTGAGTTGCATATCGACGGTGGCTCTAAAGGCTTCGGCAATCTCTATCTAGGCTTTTCAGGATGCAAGCCCCCTGGCTAGTGGATTTTCTGCCTGCCATAAACCGATATAAGTTTTGGGGATTTGCCTCGAGCTTTTGGGTAAGGTTCGTCTGGAACGACCTCCCGATTCCCCTCACACCAATGTTGCATCGATTTCTTAGAGCAATTTACACGGTGTGGTCAGACTCTTTTCTGGAGGTCCTCCACTTGTGCCATGCTTTCCCCTTGGCTTTCGAAAGGCGTTCAGTGCCTCGTTCCACCCTAAGGTTCGCTTCCGCGGTGTTGCTGTGATTACTTTGACATTTTCAGAGACAGCTCTCTTGATGATATCTCCGACTAGTTCCCAATGTTGGTCAATCGGCAGGTTGCTCCACTCCTGAGGCCATGGTGCTATCAACAGATATTGGTTCATCGCCATGTAGTTCGCTTTGTTGTAGCGAAGACAGGGGCGCGATCCCTCCACACGACAGTTGTTCGTTGAACACCAGATCGAACACTACCACGCCGTGATCGCTGCTGTCGAGGGGGGTTTGAACCTGTACGTTTTCTGCCAGCAGTGGGTCACTGGTAAAAGGTAGTTCAGTCTGGACGGCTTTCCGTCCGACCCCCAGCGAGTGTCATCACCAGTATTCTCGTGCAGCCCAGCCCTTTTGATAGTGTTGAGTAGGTTTCGGTCGAACCTTCGGCTTCTGGTTCCCTTATCCTGCCCAAGGTTGAGAGTCGGAGCATTAAAGTCGCTGGCCATAATGACCTGGTCATATCCGATGAACGTCGCTCGGGACATTACTTGCAGCAGTTGTCGGTTATCTTCCACGCTGCTAGTAGGTGTTCTGTAGACGTCTTCTACCAGGCACCTGGTGTGTCCAACCTTAAGTTGACACCAGATGGAGTCTGGGAGCCCTGAAAGTAGAGTTTCAGTTGCTCGTTCACCTTTAAGGTTATCACTTATAAGCATCGCGACTTCGCCTCCCCCCTTAAACTTCCTGTCTCTCTTGAACAGACGCATACCGTCCATACTAGTTTCGACGCCGCTAATGTCCGGTGATAACCAACTTTCTGTCAGGATTATGACCGCTGGAGCAAGGTAGGAACACAGAAATCGTAATTTTCCCATTCTACTTCCAAGTCCCCTCGCATTACTGTAAAGACACTTAGCTGTTTCTAACGTCAAAGGGTATCTTGGTGCTGACAGACTGGAGGGAGTCGTGAGTAGTAGCGAAACTTGCTATAGGATGGCCAGCTCCAGTGGAACCGGCCCAACCACTTTTTTTCCCACAATGGTTTCTGGGGGTCTCATAGAGTCCGGGCTTGATTGTGCATCTTGTCTGTTGACAGTGATGGTGACTTCAGCGGTGGGCGGTGCTGCCGTTTGCTGCTATCGCAGTGTCCTGGGTCTGCTTTCACAACAGCCAACATCCCCACTGATGTTATCTTTAACTGTGTACCAAGTTTGCAGTACGCTGGTTAAAAGTTCTTGACAGCCGAGGTCAACAGCCACCAACTGGGGTGCTGTTATCGTCGCCAAATGAGAGGGACGTGGCAGTCTGCAGACCACCGCCGCTGCTACCCCATTTAACCCCATCCTCTCTCACAACCACTGCCATCGCTGAACGTCGTGAGCATACTTTTCTACGACTGTGCCGGCTGTCAGTTCCAGTATGCCGTGGACAACCATAGTTGTTGGTTCCAGCGTTTGGGGCGCCTTGCGAGATACTTTTCTTGCTGACCAAAGGCTGTCTGGTCCGGCCCTGATGCTGGATGATCTGTTGATGACTGTGTGTGTGTGACATCGGCTAGAATCTTTCCGCTTCCCTAGCTGAGCTCAGGGCAACTCTCATTGGCAGAGGCTTTCCCTGAGATGGGTGGTTGCCTTTGTTGAGCCTGCACAGTTTTGCTTTTAGGCTACCCAGTCCTAGTGTGGCTCATACGGTTTCGAATTGCTGCTTGTCAGACGATTCTCTGTTCTCAAGGAGACTATCATGGCACACAGGGACATGTACTATGGGTGGTTTTTTATGGGAAGGGTGCACCTTCTTTTCCACTACCCGCCATTTTCCCGTTGTACTGTGGGGTTAGCCGTTAAGGTGGCTTCAGGGTTAGGGACGAATGTAGTTGGTCGCGTACCCGGTCGTCGTTTTGATCTTTTTGGACTATTCGCCGATGTGACTGGCAGGGATACAGCGCTGACACTCTTGCTACTTGGGCCTGGGGTAGTGGTCTGTATGGATGATGGCATCATAGTAGTGGCTGAGATGTCTTTTACGACCTCCGTCAGCGAGCCTGTAAGAAAGAGTGGCTTTATACGGCGCTGTGGGCAGATGTACCAGAAACACGTGCATGGATATCGCGCCGTGAAGGTGTAATATTGGTCTGGTATGTCGTCATCAGACTGACTGTGCACCCACTCATTGTAGACGTTACACTCAAAGACAGCATCCCTCTTGGCTACGATGAGACCACATGTATGACAGTCGTCAGCCTGACTAGAAGGTTTAGTCAGCCACTTTCTTTTCCTTCTCTTCCGTCTCTCATTGGTAGCCTTCACAGGTAGACTAGGAATTGGGCTGGTGGTACCAGAAAGACATGCTCGTTGATGAACCACGGCACAAGG